CGTCAAGCAGGGCTTCTTGCCCAGAGTGACTTATCCCTCAGGGAGTGTGAGGGAAGGCCTGCACAAGTGTAAGCTGTCCAGCGCTGTCTGGGATTTTCAGGCATCTGGTGCCTATGTGGAAAGGTTGTCTGTCTACTGGAGGGCACTGAGATTAGGCCAGCTGTTTCACAGATTGCTTTGCCAAAACCCCTGACTGTCTGTTACAACCCTATTTTCCGCTAATTCTCTTCCCAGTGCTGAAGCTTCTTGTCTCTCTGGTCCAGTGGAGCTCTGTGGGCTTGTGCTTTAATCTGGGTTGCTAAATTAATTTTTTTTTTGTTTTTTTTTTTAAATTTCCTTTTTCTCCCTATGCTCTTAATTTCCCAAAAGAGGGAGGTGTATTTTTGACCTGGATAAGTTCAGTGATTTATCTTGCAAACTGCAAGGAACCAAGGAGGAGAGGTGGAGGCAGGGAACAGGCAAGTGTGCAAATTCTATTGATATAGCTGTCAAAGCCCTGCATTATTACATTGTAACTAGAAAAAAGAGAAAGTGGTTATTCCAACCAAGAAGATAGATTATTGTTGTCTCTCTACATCAAGCAGCAATGCTTCTTCCCAGAGAAAAACTTCTGATGTTAACTTACAATTATACCTCCAGCAGTGGATTTGCTCCCCTCAAATAAGGGACAGAGGGCAACAGATCTGTACCTGTGTTTAGTAGTGCTCTTTCTTATTATCTCTGAAGTAAACTAGTGCTTTTTTTTGCTTGATAGTGACTGAAGAAAAAGCTCTACTGATTATTGTCTTAAACCATAGTTGGAGGAAGGTTTTTATGGATGTGAACATTTTCTTAAGTAACCCTTTTTGTTTCCCTCACTTGGTCCACTCATTCCTATCCTGGAAAAACTTCTTCAGTTATGTTAGTGCAGTTGGAACTGCAAAGTCAACTAGCTTGGGAAACTTAAGAGAAGTCCTTCTTTTTTTCTTTTTTTTCCCCAGGTTATTTTATTTGTGTTCAGTTCTCCAGTGTGGCTCATCATGCAATACTTGAAGCAATTCTACCAGTCTTCGAACGCAGACTGTTTCAGAGAGAAGGGAGATGCTTCCCCAGAGAGAAATGCCAATTAAATTCTGTTCTTTACGTACAAGAGTCAATCCAGACACTCCAACTCCTTTTCTTTCTTGTGAATGTAAGTTATTTGCATGGAAATGCCACTGTGATTTATTGAAAAACACATGATTCTTTATTCCGCTAGATACAAGCATTCTTTATTTCTTAGCAATCCTAGAATCTCTTTCCTTTTGTAGAACAGCACAGCAGCTGACAGACTCTCCCTTTCCTGGTGGTTCAGTTCATAGAGTGCACAAACATTTCCACAGATATTACTCCAGAAAAATACAGGCTGTTAATGTAAAATTCATACTAGACATAACTGAAAGACTGCATCAGTGTTACAGTAAATTAGCTCTAGGCCTCGTAGCATTGCATATTTTGATAGCCCTATGATTCAAAACACTGACCTGGTATGAATTTATTCCTTTAAAAATATTTGAGAGGGCAGCTTACTACAAGTTAACTTTATGCTGAATCAGGTATCATCTTGCTTCCTGCAGCTGACACAAAGCCAGAATAAACTTTTTCTTTTGTGCTCTGGATAATGTAACAAATACACAGTCATTGACCCAGTGTTTATTCTGTTCTGATTAGTACACTTGGGTAAGCATATTAATGGTCATCAAACAATAGCCTGTGAAACTACAAGCTTGGATGCTATTACGTTGGAATAAGAGTATTTTTTTTCCTGTTTTATTTTAAATCACAGCTTTAGCAGCTCTATTTAGAAGTAAACTCTGAGAGAGGAGAGATTATTTTTTCTGCACTGCTTTTTGTGATGAGAAAATACAGTGAAACAATTGGCTTATGGTATTAAAGCCTGACCTTTACGTATCCCTTTGCTGCTATTATTGGTTTATGTTACCTCCTGCAGCAAACGTGTTATAACGTGCTCATATCACTCATTATTTCTTTTTTCAGCAAGGGGCAGATTCTGTCAGGTAACCGATTCGATTCGAACACCAAAAAAATCTCTTAAAAATGTGGTTGTCTTCTGAGAAGAATGAGTTGCTGTCAATGCTGGCATAGCAGCTTTGCAGAAGTGATCTGCTTTAAAATACTCAAATGACAAAACATGGGGAGCTTCTTAAAAATAAATTTATCAGAACAATTGGTAGTTATAGTGAAGACATACAAAATTCACTGACTGAAAACCCAAGAACTGAAAAAGTGAAACTTGTATACTTCATAAAAAGTACTTCTTTATGCTGTTACAAAATTTTTAGCAAGCTGTAGAAACAGCTTTTTGACATCATATGAGAAATGATAGGTAACAAAATTTGGTTGTTTCACCTAAATTTCTAAAACTTCCTCACGTGTACAAGAAATGAAGCAGGGCAGAACTTAAGTCATAGCACATAGTCCAATTTCTTGCTGCTAACCTGTCTAAAGCAGGCTGTGCTATTTTTTTTAATTTTTTTTCCAAAACTTGCAAACTTTTGTGGCAATAAAATGGTTGAAATTGTCTGGTTTGTCTTTTTGTAATGCACCTGACCACTTTTCTCGTGTGCAGGCAGGAGAGTAGTTTTGACAGGAATCTGAAGGTCAGAGGATGCTCAGAGGGTCATGTCCATTCTTGCCGTTGATCACTGGAAAATGAGAACATAGGTGCAACCCCACCAGCTAGCCTAGTTCTGCTGGAGAAGGAAAGCAGATTTAGATTTGATTAAGTATGAAGTGATGATTAAAAAAGGGAAGTGGCACATTCGAAATATCTTAAATGGTAAGGTTTCCCTTGTAAGATAGCTTGCTTCGTATCTAATCAGACTTTTAAAAGTCAGTAGCAGAATTAACTAGTTGGTACTTTTGGTATTTTCCTCTGTTACTCACGGACCATGAAGCAGTTTTAAAATCATTAACTATTTTGATTCATATGCATTGTAATTATATGAAACCGTTACTAAAGACTGAGTGAGACCATCTAACAACAGTATGGCAAATCTGGCTGTAGGGCACCTGGTACTGAGTCAGAAATGCCACTGCTATGTGACACAAAGTTCTGATCCAACCTAATTGTGTTTTCCTCATTCAGATTTGCTTTTGACAGGTTAATTTTGTATCGCGTTACATGCCATCAGGTTACAGAACAGTTGTTATTTGCCCAAACCATACAAAGTCAATGTGAAAAAGTAAAGGCAGTAAAGAAAAAAGCAGTGTATCTGCCTACTCCTTATTAAACATCCGCAGCTGGAGGGCTTTGTCCTTCACGACTGAAGAACAATATTTGTGGAACCAGAGTCCAAGGTCTCAGCCTCTTGTTACAAGATGCCTTGATCTGGTCAGCTGCAGCCGATACAGCCCTGTTTTTGCAAACTGTTCTGTGCGACAGATGCCTGCACCCACACATTGGTGTCACTGCAGTTCTGCATGAGTGCAGGATCTGTCCATACAAAATAACTCCTACTGCTGTATTTTTGTTTTCTGTGGCCCCTATGGCTTGGGCAATGTATCAAGTGCTGTGTGGGGAAAGAAAAGAGTAACACTGAAGTATTTTCAGGAACAGAATGCTGATGTTAGTTGGCACTGTGCCGTTGCCTATATTCTTTGTTTGCAGTGGATTTGAAAGGAACTTTGTAATGATAAGCAGATAACTTTCAGTAGGAGAATAGGGCCTCAATTCTGCAAGTATTTAGTGTTGATTTAAACACCACTATTCAAGTGTTTACATTTTATCCATGACCATAAACTTTCCTAGGACTTAGCACTGAAGTTACAATTCAGTTTTGAAAGCTGTGCTGTGGACAGTAATTCTGGTATACTGGTTTTGCTTTTGAACTTCCTAAGCGTCTTAGAACACAATGATGTTTGAAACTCAGTTTGGAAAAATACTTTTATATTTTACTCTGATCTTTCTTCAGATTCAAATAAATCTTTTATACTTGCAGTATATCTGGTTTTTCTTTGGCTTTCCCAGTTTCTGGTCTCCCAGTTTCAACATGCGTATACTGCTGCTGTCTGCTTTCTCCTAGGTATGCAGAAGAAAAATGTGGTTTTATTCTTCAAAAGGTATTTTGTCCCCACAATCCCCTTAAGTTGGACATCCACTATAAACTTACTTGGTTTTAATACCTCGTAACAATGGATTTGTTTCATTCTCTTCTGCATAGCCTTTTTTTATTTCCCCCTCCCTCTTTCGGGGGGGTGTTTGTTGCGGATCAGTTTTTTGTGTCTCCTTTCAGGACAGTTCTGATACTGTTGCTGTAAGTGCATCCTCTGCTGCAGCATTTGCTACTTGCAACATCTTTATGTGTTTGCCCTGTTGCAGATTTTGCAGACCAGCACCTGTTCTTTTGGGGATCATTTCCTCTTTTCATTGTTTATTGGTTCTTTCTCTTATTGTATTATTTATCTGACAGAATTTTGGTGGCATAAAGTGTATGAAGGCACTTTATGACCACAACAGCCCTTTGGCAAAGGGCAAAAATAGGTTGATGGTAGAGTTTTATGACTCTGGAAATCACAAATTTCTTTTTCCACAGGGGGGAAAATATGGTAACCTACAGACTGTTCCTAACAGAAGAAAGAAAATCCTAACTACTCACAAATGCTTCTCGTCAGAATGAAATTCCTACAGCTACTGTCCAGGAAATCTGGGAGACTGGAAATGCTTTTTCAAATACCTTTTTGCCAAAAGCAATTCCCATATTTGTGTCTGGCTACCTCCACTTGTCTTTATAGTAAGAAGAAAAAAGTGAACAGTTATGAACAAGTTGACCAAGAAAAATACAAGAACTTGGTCTGCTCTGTTACATCTTACAAAACCAGCGCCCAAACACCAGAAACAATATTTGAAGAAGACAATTTGTTATATGGGCCACCGGCTAAACACAGACCTCCAGTTAAAGCTGAAACAAAAACTCCCAAGAACTGGGTTCCTTTAATAAACCCCAACAAGAGAATTCCGCTTCTCAACAGTGATTCAACCCTCCCCATGAAAATCTCTTTACAAAAAACGAAAATGCCCAGTGTTACCCGTGTTCTTCAACAGACTATGTCTCCACAGCAAGCCTTTTATCTGGAAAGATGGAAGCAGAAAATGATACTGGAACTTGGAAAAGATGGGTTTGCGGAGTATACTAAAAGTAAGTCCAACTGCGGTGTGATTACAAAGTAGAAGCAGTAGTCTGGATAGCTGGCTGGGGTGTGCTAGCACAGCTGCAATATCTGGCCCTACAAATCAAGTGTTTTGGAAATGCATTAAGTTGTTTTAATTTCAAGGGGTGAGAGCATATTGTGAGTGCACCTGTTATCAATGAATCTAAGCTCTTTGTTCTGGGACTACTAAAATGGATTCAGAATTGTGTGGGAAACAAGAATTAGACTGTAGACATTCTTTGCTCTATCCTGTCTGCCTCTCCTTTATTTGTCTATTTGATAGTATCTATTTACAAATAGGTATTTTCCAGCTGATGTTATTGAGCCTGTTTGCAGATACAAAGGTACTTTGTAACAAGACAGAAATAAGCATTCTGAAATAGTTACCTTGAGTGTTTAAAAAACTATGTGTCTTGCTGTTTATTTTGAAGTTCCTCAGTAACTATTTAGTTTATCCAGTATATATCTATATAGCCTCTGCTGTGAAATTGCCATGCATTTAGAAGTTTTCATTTCATAAGACCTACAAAGATGACTTCCCCTAAGCTGTAGGGCTGAAGGGGATCTGGGAGGACCGGGGGGATAGTAGGTAGCCTCTTGTAGTAGGGTTGATAAGTACCCGAGCACTCCTTACATGCATTATTATGCTTTATAAAACTGAATATCCTTGGTTTATGCTTTTTTAGTTACTGAGCATTTCAGTGAATAAGGTGGCATAACAAATGTTACATAGCTATTTAAAGTTTATCTATCTTGGAATAATTTCTGAGATAGGCCCTTACTCCTAGAACTATGCCCACACATTTCAGGAGGAGATTAGCTCCATTCAAATGAACCAACACAGCAGAAGCAGCAAATGGCGCAAAAGTAGCCTAGAATAGTATTTTTAATTCATGGAAATTCACAAATGCCTTTGACTAAACAATAAATTAAAAATCATATTTTGTTTCTGAGGAATTAGTGAGACCGAAAAAGTGAAGTAAGCATTAACGTAAGAGGTACTAATTTCACTGTTGACAATTTATTTTTCTGCCTCATTCTCTTCTCCTCCCCACATCCTCAAGCTTTCACTGCAAAAACCAGTGGTTTAAGAGCCATGTTGTGTAATATCCAGAATACAAGTCCATCAGGTATTATGAGTAGTGTCTAAAGTGTGGAGTTTTTTCACATTTTTCTTAGATCTTTTCCTCCAAGGAGAGCTCTTTCATGCAGCTTTGGAATCTATATTCCTGTCTGAAGATGTGGCAGCTAAGGATCAGGGAGAAGATGTTGCTATTTCCGGCTACTTATCAAGTGTGCAACACGTCTTAAAAGATATCAGCGAAGTGAAAGCTCTGGAAAGTGCCGTTCAGCATGAGACTCTTCAGTATCTGGGCCTGGTAGACTGCGTGGCTAAGTATCGGTGAGGTACTGCTTCTCTAAGAAACCTGGTAATGCCAGCGTTGCATGGTGCTCTGTGGTGTGTGGGAGGCTGTGTCCCACCCAGGCTGGTGCAGGTGTGTTGGTGATCTGCTGGAGGGAAGCTGAAAAGATCTTGTATGAGGGGTGAAATGAATGAACTCACCTGGATGAACCTGATGACAGAAGTGCTGTTGCTCCTTATGGAGAATTCCTTTCTGGAGCAGGGTATGAGCCAGGTAGGGTTAAGTGCTCCTCAGCAGTTGCCAGGAACTGCAGCAGATATCAGTAAGTCTTGATTTTTGTGATCTAAATGACCAGCGTGGAAGAGACTTGCTTAGACTGGGCATAAGAATGAGCAACATGGCATCAGAGTGAAACAGGCTGAGAGTGATACGCCTTTCTTTGCTATCCCATGCCTTATTTCTCACTGTGACTAAACTTAAGTTTAAAATATTGTCCTATCTTGTTCTCTTATGCAGAGGCCGGTTGTGTGTGATTGACTGGAAAACTTCAGAGAAACCAAAGCCGTCTCTGAAGAATACTTTTGACAACCCACTACAGGTTGCAGCATATATTGGAGCCATAAATCATGATGCCAATTATGACTTCCAGGTCAGTAGACCTGCTACCTGCCAGGACAAGCAGCAGCGTCCACATTATTTTCATTTCTCCCCACCTACTGCCTTTAGCATCTGCTGTCCATCATGGAACTGTTGGTAGGATTTGTAACAAAGCAGCCCCATCTTAGATCATGTTAAGCTGACATACCGTGAAATAACTCCAGTATTCTTGCTGATCCTGCTGCCTTTGCCTGTCAGCAGTATATTTTCATTAGTTTTAGGAATGTTTAGCATCTTAGGAGGTCAGGTGAACTCACAGTGACTTGGCATCTGGGCAGCCCCCAGAGCTTGTGTCAAGAGTAGGAAGGAGGAGGAGAGGCAGTAAAGCAAAAGAGCCTGCAAACAGGGAAATGCGGTGGGAGGGCATCGCTCGCATCATGTGTTGCTATATCCCACTAGCAAATGAGGGACTAAGTGATTTGCTTGGAGTGTTTGGAAGCTATACAGTGTTTTGTCAGAGGAAAGCAGTGTGTTGTCAATCACTTAATCAGAGGACAGGGGAATAATGTTTTTAAAGACTCCAAACACAATTCTAGCCAGGCCTGCTTGGCCTGAAGGCTTGTTATTTCAGTACAAAGCATTGAAGGGGGAGAATATAAAGCAGATGAGCAGGGTAATTCGTAGGTTCTTCAGAGAACTTTCTAGAGTATTATAGAGATCAGTAAACACAACCACTCAACAGACATGTCCTTACACAGTGAAATACAGGCAGTAATTCTAGAATTCTGCTTTTAGTCTGCTGTCCACCACCACTTTGTCTTTACTCCAGTAGCTGTGTGGGGTTTGGATTAGAGCTGTTTGTCAGGTATGAAAGATGTCGGCACACGCCTAAGTAACCATTGCCATTCAGATGGATGCTGGAGAATGGCATTGGTCTGGTTATATGACCCCAGGCAAACCCTGGGAATTTTACCGGCGTCTGCAAGGTTTAAATAGACCCTGTCACTCTGATACTCACAGTTTAAGTCCTCCAGTTGTCACCAAAGTCAGTCAGAGCTTTGAACTCTCAGTGTTTGAATGTTAGTCTCCAAGTATTTTATGGTAAATTATTACTCTTTTTATTCCTCATCTCTTCTTTAAGGTACTTTTATGTTACAGATGATGTTTTGTAGTGAGGTTTAGTGTGCAGAATTGCTGATTAAAGTCGCATATTAACATTGAATTTCTGACAGCCTTCTGTTTTTAACCATAGGTTAGCTGTGGACTCATTGTGGTTGCCTATAAGAATGGCTTCCCTGCCCATCCGCATTTCATGGATCCTGATCTGTGTTCGCAGTACTGGAATAAGTGGCTTTTGCGCCTTGAAGAGTACATGGACAGAAACTGACCCAAGCAGCAAGTGGTCTGAGCACAGAGCCAAAGCAAGAATCCTTTGTTTTGATCTTCCGTTTGAATACATACTCTTTTTCAAGTAACTCTGGCTAATTTCTTCATATCAAAGTTTTCCCCTCCCCCTCAAAAAAAAGAAAGAAAAATTGGAGTGGGGAATGGGAATTTGCTTATGTTGTAGGTGACTTAAGTGGACCTGGCCGGACAAAGTTGACTGACTTAATCTCTGTTTTTCCCCACAGAGTTTATACAACCTGAGGTTGATAGGAAAGTTTCTATTATCAAGTAAAACTGTTCAATCAAATCATCCTTCTTTTGTCATTTATGAGAAAAAAAAAAAAACTGTTGCAGAACTGAGACTTTGAAAATGAAGTTGGTGAACTAAAGCAAAAGGACATTTGCGTTGTCTGAGCTGAGAGAAATGCAAACGATAAACAAATGAGTATAGTAGACTGGGTTTCAGTCAGCTTAGCTCTTGCTCATCTCAAAGGTATCTGTTAACGGGCTTGTTACTATTTGTGGTTTTTCTTACAGCAACAACTGGAAAAACTGCGCTAAGAATTATAACCAAAGTTCTCATAAGCACTTATTTAAAATACGAAGACAAAGCGATCGTTTAAGAGAAGTGGCTTTAACAGAAGAGGAGCTGAATCGTAACTGACACACTTAGAAATTTCCAGCAAGTGTTCTGAAAAGTTGGGGAAATTTGACTACTTCTAGTGGCTCCTCCTGCAGGTTTCTTAACAGGCTGGGTGGCCCACGCAAAAGAAGTGTGAGGGTGTGAACAGGCTTTGAACCTTGGGATGTGAGGCTCTGAGCGGGCCATGTCTGCAGCTGTCCTGAGCTCTCCTGACTTGTCTGTGAGTCTGAACCAACAAGGAGGCCATCCGTGTGGAACCATCTCCAGTGTCAGGTTATTGCCAGTGCGAGTAAGTTTCTTTATAAAAGCGGCTTGTGACTTTGAAGCTGGGCCTTCTGAGGAGTGAGGAGCTGCTGATTAGGTTTTTGAGGGGTTGTTTTTTGTGTTTGGCTATATTTTTCTATAAGTTTGTTTATAAATAATGTTCTAAAGCAGAAGTTACTTTTGAAGCTTGTTTCATAAAATCAAGTCTATAAGACACAGAATAAGCTGTGATGATGTCAGGTGATATTGCTTTGTGTATTGCACACCTGGAAAGCTTTTTTCTTCATTTTCTTTGTTTTAATCTGAATTGTATGTATGAGTTTTCATAACACCACTGCAGATTACAAATAAAAATAGAACCCAACCCATAATCTTCAAGAAAATCAGCCAGAACCATACCTACAAAAACCAATGGGCAGGCTTGCCACTGAAGAAACTTAATTCTCTGTAGTGCTTAATCTGCTATTCCTCCAGAGTACTGAGCTGTGGAAACTTGTACAGTGAAACTTTGTTCTGGAGGTACTTGCTTATTCAAACCCAGTCTGGTGATGGTATGATTACCCTGTGCTTAATTAGATTTCTATCTAAAAAGACCAACCGTGGAGACTGAGAAACTGGGTTCAGAGATGACTAACCACGACGACGCTGCATGAGCGCTCAGAAGTTCTACCTGTTTTACAAGTGTGTTCCCACATCACAAAATTTTAGCAAGTGGGTGGTTCAACGCCACTGAACACGGTCAATTTTCTGTGAAAGATAGCTCTGTGGATACAAAGAGGGTGGGCATAAGCAAGAGGTAAGATGCCCTGTGCAGAAGCAGGAGGCGATAAAATGTGCTGAATTCCCTGTGTTGATTAGGACTTGATAAATCAAGAGAGCGTGGAGCAGTTGGGTGATGTTTGTGTGGGATTGCTGCCTTCGTCAGTGCATCATACAGCCGTTAGATGTCTCTGAACCACATGAGGTTTCAGCCTCCTCCTGCCTCCTAGTACATAAGGACATGTCTGGAGCCTGGGCAGTGCAGGCACCTGTTGGCTTCACCTGTGATGGTTTGTTTAACAAAAGCCTGAGGAAGGCTGCCAGCTTCACTGCCACTGCCAGTTTGTAAACCGATCTCTAAGTCTTGGATGAGCCTGTACTGTCAGGGAGCCAGGAGAAGGCAGGCAGCCTTCAAAGGCGGTACCGGTGGAAGTTACTGGTGTCTGGCACTTCTGGAAGTCTGGCTGCCTCCGGCATCCCTGTGTGAGCTCGGGGACGTTTCTGCAGAGGCACAAGCTAGTGCCGGCCTTGTCCCGTAACAGAACTGGCAGGTGGCCACTGCCAGTGTCATGCAAACTCTCACTTTGTGACCAGTTTAAACTAACTTGCTAGACTGTTAAATTGGTGTGCCCAAGGCATCTGCTACAGGGTGTATCTCCTCTGCAGAAAAACCAGCCAGGCAATCAGGGCAGTTGCTGCAACTATAGCATCCAGCTTGTCAGAGCTTTGCTCTCCATACAAAATGGTTTTTCTGCTGTGTACCTGTGTCTTTTCTCTGTTGCTGCGAATGCTTTCTTTGAGATCGCACAGATGCACCACCTTAACATTGTAGTTCTTTCGTCAGGGACATGCTTTGGCAGCTATATTGGAGGGAAGTCGAAAGCAATGTGTCCTACAGGAGGGAAAAAGCCATGTACACACACAAAATGCGTCTCCAGCTAGATAGGGAGGGTTTTGGCTGCACCTCCACTACTCTCGTGTAAGGGGTGAGGTTTCAGCAGAGCTAAGTGCACGAGTCCTTTGCAGGCAGGTGAACGCTACTCACTGCTCAGGTGGACTCCACTGAACTCCACCTAGGAGCTGAACTCAACAGTTAAGTTTCCTGACCGAGACCTCACTGAGCGGGTTACCGGGGAGTGTCACCAGCGCAGTTGACGGAACTGGCTGTTAACGCTTTTCTTAGCCAGGCAGTCTGGTGATACAATTGCAAGCATGCAAGCTTCGCTCGGAGTGAGCATCCTTCCATTTATACTATTGTTATAATGGCATGATCTCAGAAGAACTGGGGGTCAGTGCATAGGCTTTAGCTCTTTTTGTAAAGCAAGGATCTTCTAATTTACCTCAGATGCTTTTTTTCCATGGACTTCTCTCTATTAAAGTATTCTGTGAACTTTCCCGTTACACAGGATGACAAGTTTGTTCTTTACGCAGTAGCATCACTTTATTATCCTTGTTTTCAAGGTCCCAAGCACCAACAGTTGTGCTAAATAAAGTATTAATATAATTATAAATGCTTTAAAACCCCTAAAAGCTTTTCCCCACACATTAAAAAAAAAAAAAAAAAAGCAAATGCCTGTACAAAACTGAGGCGAATTGATAAGATTTTTACAATTCTTGCAGAAACACTCAGAATCTATCATTCTAGTAGTAATGATTATGAAGGTCCTGGCTATGACTCTGTATTTTAGGTGGGTTACTTTTCAGCTATTGTTTCAATGTATATAGAATACAGTGCGTTCTCCCTAAGTGTACAGGTTTATTTTGAGCATGATACGAATTTTTGGAATTTACAAATGAAATCCATTAATTGTTATGCATTTAAATTGATGTAAAACCTGTTCAGCGGCTGTGTCCATTGAGGGACAGATGAATAATGTGTGCTTGGACCAGAGTAACTCGTGGTTGCTGAGGAAGTTACCACCCCACCCCAGCACTCCTAGTACAGGCACTGAAGTGCCCAGTAAGGGCTGCAGCAGCTTCTCAAGCCTTAAAGCGTCAGGCAGTTTCAGCAACATGAGTTCCACGGACATCCCTCTCCTCTGTTTTTTAAATCCCTAACGTCACACTCAAGTATCCCTATAGGCTTTTCCCTCTTGGTTGTCCTGGGTCAACAGGAGCCGGAGTGGGATTACAGGGGCAGTCCTAAATGCACAGAGACATAGTACCAGTCCCTCATCATCATCGCCGCCTCCTTCCTTTGTGGCATCAGTCTCGGTAGGAGCCTTCTAAACTGACAGTGGTTACAGGTGAGAGGCCGGATTTGTGCCTACAGTTTTGCACTGGTCTCACGAGGCAGGGACAGGCTAAGTCTCTCTCTTCACTGCGTTGCACTGCTCTGTTGTATTAGCGAACAGGCAGTTGATGATTAAAAAGAAAAAAAAACCAACCCAAAATGAACACGAAAACACACACACACACACACACCATAAAATACACACAAAATTGCATTTCATCATGACAGAGCGTTGCACTGCTCTGTTGTATTAGCAAACAGGCAGTTGATGATTAAAAAGAAAAAAAAAAACAACCCAAAATGAACACGAAAACACACACACACACACCATAAAATACACACAAAATTGCATTTCATCATGACAGAAAACATATCTTCAAGTCATTAAAGTATTTTCCTCGGGTTTCAGGGTTGATATTGATGTATGTTAAAAGCATGTGGTAATAATCCCCAAAGTGAGCGTGACAAGTCCAGGAACGTCAGAATTAAGGTTACACTTAAATCTAAACATGATAAAATAAGTTCACAGCTTAAAGTATCTAAAATATGACCATAAGTCTGCCCTGGAATAATGCCATTTGCTAGTAGAGGAAGTCTGGGAGGAAAAAGTTTTGCATCCTTTCAAAAAAAGTTTCAGCTCACCTTGGATCATGCTTCCATAAATAATTAGTTTACTGCACAGAGGAGCAGAGTTAAGGTTATTTGCACTTGCATTTTATCTTACTGATAAAGTGTACTCCTATTCTTAAGACCATTTTAATTCATTTTGCATGGAGCAATGTTGTAGTAGCTGCGCTTACAAGACACTTTTCACCCAAACCTCTCAAAAATAATAATTTTTACGGGCGGTAACTGTTACTAGCTTTACAAAATACACTGAGGAAATACGAACTTATTTGTCAGTGGACACTCGGATGTGTGGTAGAGCTGAAATAGAAAACAGGTTGCCTGAATTGTCAGTTCAGTTAAATGCTCCATCCAAGAGGTGACAGCCTCTTCCAAACTTTCCTTTTTTTTTTTTTTTTGGCCAGATAAAAAAGTCTGATGTTTGCATCGTATATGGGAATAATTCTTTCAAGTTGAGGTTCTGCCAACATCAAGAGAGT